ATCATAAAGTACCTGCAGTTTTTATTACTTTAAATTTTGTTTGAAGTATTTCATTGGGCTATTAATTATTAATCTCTTATAGAAAGGTTTATTTAATTCACTGTGTAGCTACATATCTAAAATAGTACTAAATGGTGTTATTTGCCATATTTCAGTTATCAATGCCCCAGGGAGCAGCCTTATAACCTGCTCTCTACACAGTCTGTAGGGCTACCTTCACCACCTTCACCTCCATCCATCACCACCACCCTTAAGATCACCCACTTCCTCCACCCATACTAACCCAGGAAGTAATTAGAATTGCAGGCAGAGTATGAGGAAACAAACAGCCTCATCAAGGGGCTTCCCTGGCAAATTCACCTGACTTTGTCAAAGTTAAAACAATGGACTGAAGAGAACACACAGTTTTGTGTAATGTATATGTTACAAAATAAGTCTCAAATACCAACAGCTGGAAATTATTTTCTGTTCTGTAGGATCACTACTGAACTGTAGATATCCTAAATCTATCTAGGTTTTTAACATTTTAAATATCAAATTTTATCTACCCCACTTTATGCAGTAGATTATCACAAGAACAGAATAAAGTTTTCAGTTTATAGAAGTTTGTACAGATTCAAAGTTAGCCCCCAAACTACAATACTACTACCATTGTCCTGTCTCTATCAGTGGCCAATTGACAATTGGAGACCACTAAATTAGAACTTGAATTTACTAATTAACATGTAGGTTTTCTCACTTCAATATGATGTTACCTGGGTGTGATAAAACAGCATTTACAAATATATTCCTATCAATCCACATAGCCAACAGCAATAAAATATAATCTATGATTAAATATCAACTCATGAACAGCCATTTTTTTAGGAATCTTTCCACAAATAACCCTTATCCACAAATATTTTTTATTAAAACTTGTATCAATTTTCAACTCAGAGAGAAATGTTTATGATGCCCAAGTAAAGTGAGAAGCTGTTTTCATCAAAGGAAGCTGTGCAACTTTTTGTTTTTTAGGATAAATTCTTCAGGACAGTTTGATCTCAGTTCTTATGGTTTGAAAATCAAGATTTCACTATTACTCTAATCTACAAAGATAGACTGCAGTTGACACTAACTAGATTGCTAAAAATAAAACAAAATAAGTAACCACCACTGTTCCTAGATCAGCTATTCTGTAATCTTTGTTCATCCTGGAGAAAATTAGTAGGCAAAATTCAAGATCCTAGAACAATGTCTTCTGACAGCAAGATATGAAAAAACATAATCCAGTAGATGAGAGTAAATCATCTCAAGAGCCCTGCTAATAGGGTAAATGCCAAAAACCTACAGCAGGGATACTCAGCAAGCAATACTTTCCCTCCTTCCACAGACAAGGCAACATGGAATAAATGAGCAACCAGGAGACTGGAGTTCTAGTTCCCAGTCCGCCACTAATCAGCAATGTGTCACTTCCCTTCTCTGAGCCTAGATTTCTTCCAGTTAAATGGGAGGCCTGGATTAAATGATCTCCCAGTCTCCCTACTCTAAAAATGTTACCATTCTATCATTCCTTCCAACACCTCAAAATATTTTGGTTGCCATGAAAAAAGAATTTTAAATAAAGAATGCTCAAAATGTCACATTTATTTTTATAACATGTTCTCAGTGCCAGCCTTTAGTATGCATATGTATAATCCACAAATTAGCAGGAACATTCATCTCATATAGAATTTACCCAGTAAATCTTTAATTTGAAATCTACAGGTTTTGCATCATATCCAAATAGCATCAAGTTTGTTCACTTAAAAACTAAAATAAAATCATAGAAAGATTTCCTAAGAACAAAAGTTTATCAATAAAAGCACACTATTAAACCTCAATATGACAGACTTTTACAGTTGGGAGGGTTCTCAGAATCTCCTCAATTTAAAGATGAGGAAATGAAATGACTCATAGTCCAGGGCTTTTTTTCTATACCACACTTCCTCCTCTCCTTCCTGCTTTATCAAGACAGAATGGTAGCAGAAAAAACAATACTAGACTGAAACTAATCGAAACTAATCTGGATTATAGTCCTAACTCTGTTACTGATTTGCTGTGGCACCTTGGACAAGTCACTTTCCCTCTCTGAGCTTTGGTTTTCATAACATTTTATATGGGGTTTAACTAGATGTCCCTTCTAGCTGTAGCACACCATGATCTTATAAAATTCCTATCTGAAAAAAAAACACACAAAATACACATTCCTGAAAGAGAAAGTGGGAACCGCTAGTCAAGAGAACTGAAAAGTTTGGGCTGCTGGTTTTAAACAGATGCATCAGTTCAATTCAGCAAGTAGGTCCTAAAGCATTTTACTTCAGACACACACACACACACACACACACACACACACACACACACACACACACACACACACACAGTGTGAGGCTGCTATGATGCATTGGAAAAAATATACTAAAGTAGGAGTCTGGAGAATTGGTTTTAAATTCCAGCTCTGTCACAAGTGTTGCCTCCTAGGCCAATTCATTAACTTCTTTGAGCCTAAGGTTCCTCATATATAAAAATGGAGATAAGGCAGAAACCGGTTTGGCTCAGTGGATAGAGCGTCGGCCTGCGGACTGAAAGGTCCCAGGTTCGATTCCGGTCAAGGGCATGTACCTGGGTTGCGGGCACATCCCCAGTAGGAGATGTGCAGGAGGCAGCTGATCGATGTTTCTCTCTCATCGATGTTTCTAGCTCTCTATCTCTCTCCCTTCCTCTCTGTAAAAAAATCAATAAAATATATTAAAAAAAAAATGGAGATAAGAATAAGAAAACCTGACCTAAAGTATCAACCAAAATAAAGCATTATAAATGTGGTATATATTGCAAAGCTGATCAAGTGGAGATGATCTGCCACTGTGGAAAAGTAGGCTGCACTGGAATAAAAAGTCTCCCTATAAAAAACTGGACTGATTTTTAACTTATTAAATTTGCTTTCAAAGTGTAGAATAAAGCTGAAAATACCACTGGAGGGGAATAGAAAAAAAAAAACAGTATTAGGAAATGGATTATGTATTTGGATTCCACTAATTAACAAAAATGAAATAACTCTCAACTGCCCACTCAGTTTACTACAAATTTGGTGAAATGGTCTGTGTACTCTAGAACATACAATAGCAAGAAGCATATATTTTTTATTTTTTAAAATCCTCACCTGAGGATATGTTTTTCTTGAATTAGAGAGGAAGGGAGAGGTAGAAACGTCAATGTGAGAGAGAAACATTGATAGGTTGCCTTGCATATGCACACCAGGACAGGGGATTGAACCCCCAACCTGGTAGGTGCCCTGACCAGGAATCGAACCCCTGACCTTTCGGTGTACAGGGCAATGCTCAAACAACAAGCCACACTGGCCAGGGTGCAAGAAACATTTTTTCAAGTGCCCAAACTCAGTCTGTTAACCTCTTAGTTTGTATGTTGTGCTACTTTGGTTCACATCAAAGGACAGAAGATATTCTGATGACCAGGTATCTAGTGACCTCATCTGTTTTCACAGATCAAGATTTCTCACTGAATTTCTAGGTCTCCTCACAGTACCTTATGCAAATGACAAAACTTGTCACAAAGGATAGAGGATATGTTAATTATGCCAACCTTTGCTATCCTGGCAGTACTGTTAGTTCTTTTCAGATGCAGTTCTCCAGGTGAGTCTAATTCTCTTCCAAATCCCCTATTACAGGATGAAGCCATGAAATTGAGACTGACATAGTAGTTTTATCCATAGGGCTCAACAGGCTAAACATTTGGGCAGGTTAGAGTTAAAATTAGAACACTGGGTCCCAAGAGAGAAGTTTTTACTTTTCACCTAGTATCAAAGGATCAAAGAGCTTGAGAAGCTATATTGTCCCATGAGGGAAGAAATGACTCTATCAATTCTATCAAAATGACTCATCAGTTTAGACAAGTTAAATAGCTCCAAGTTTTGCATACTTCCTCCCAAAGTAAGCACTGTATGATGTTAATTTTGCTAATTCCAAGAAAGGAAGGAGAAGGGAATAAACATTTGAGTTCTTTCTCTGTGCCAGGTGCTAGACTTGGCAGTTTACACAGCTGCTGATATGACTGTCCTTCGAAATTAAATGTTTTATTCATTAGAAAAGAACCACTATTCACACAGTTCTAAATTGATTACAATCCTATACATCAATTGTTATTTCCCTCCCCACTCCACACATACATAAGTACTAAAGAATTAGGTTTCATTTAAACTGAACTGAAAGTTCATTACTTTGAGGGGGAAACCACAAAAATAAAATTTAATTTCAAGGGGACCCAATGTATTTGGAAATCCAAATGTATTTTCTATCCTCTATCATTTAGCTATGAACTTGTTTCAGATACTGAATTTGAAGGAGATTCAGTGAAATCTCAAGATTGGCCATTCCTACCCCCCAAATCCCCTCGTAGTGATATGAAGAAGGTATGAAGAAGGTTGTTGGAAACACACACATCAGGATTTATCTATGTACATTCTTTGACTTTATTGCTGTAATTTTTTTGGTAATACATTATATATTAGGTTTTAAAACGACTTCTAGAATGTAAGGATAACTTTGCTTGCATCAAACAAGGTCTTCCTTCCAAGGAGTAAGCTTGAAAATTGATGGCAGTTGACTATATTAGTGCCTTACATTAACATACCAATTTTACTAATTCTCAAGTTCTTACACCATGAACATATATATTTTACTGCCTCTAGTCCCACACGAGTCCATAGAAGAGTTTGGCAAAATCTCTATAAATATTATTCCAACTTGGAATAGTGGAGGAGTGGGTAAATAAAAGTCCTAGTCAAGGGAAGCATTCCAACTACTGTACTTCCTACTCAGAATCTCCCATATTAATCACCACTAAAACATCTTGCAGAATTAGATAAAAAGCACAAAGCTGTGGGTCTCCTTTCAACCACCAGATTACTCAGCATTTGTTTGTATCTCTGTAGTAGGTTGTATACATTTATGTGCGGCTACCTTTTAAGACTGCATTCTCCCTAATGGTAAAGGACCTTCAATTTCCTTTGCCTCACGGTAAGGTGGCATTTTAATAAAACACTGTTGATCTAGAGTACATCAGCTAGAGGACTTTCCTAAGTAAACACCCAACCCTTTTCGCCACTCCTTTTCTTTTTGTGCAAGGAAAAGAGGATGGTAAATCAGGCGAGTTACGGCTACCTCTAAAATAGGTAAGTTAGCGGCAAAAGAAAGAAAAAAAAAAGGGAAATGTAATTTCTTCTGTTATTGATCCTTTAATCTATGGAAATCCAAGGCCAGACGGATGTTTCAAAGGTAAGCTCTGAACCTCACAAAAACAAATCGCCGGCTTTCCGGCTTTCAGGCACGTGAGCTGTCCCACCTCGCAGAAAGCTGGGCAAGACGAAAAAGGGGTTCTCTTGGAGCCCCTGAGGCCTCTCACCAGGGAAAGGGGTTTGCCCGAGGTGGGCGATCCCCCATCCTAGACTCACTGAAGTGCTGGGGACAGGAGCAGCGGTGGCGGACACAGCGGGACCAGCGAGGGGTGAAGGGGGACGGCACAGGGGAAGCCGGGTGACCGTGACGCCCGGCTCCTGGGCCATAGCTACTTACCCTACAGGGTAGCCACCCCCTAGGTGCACATCTTCTGGGGCATCAAAGAATTCTTCGGTGTCGCTTTCCGACGCCATTTATAGGACACACCCGCGGGTGAGGGGGCCGACGCCGCCTAGGAGGGTGACTCTCGTCTCCTCGTCTTCCTCCACCTCGGCAAGACCGTGGGAGGTGAGTCCCGCGCGAGGATGAGTGAAAGGACGTTCTTAAGTGAGGAACCGGTTAGGAGCAGGGGGGCGCCGTCAGAAGCGGGGCTGCGGGAATGACCGGCAAAGCGGCCGTCTGAAGAGATGAGACAGCGTTGGGTCCAAGGACTGTTGCAGCCGCCGCTCCCCGCAATAGGTGTATAACCAGAGCAAGAGGCGGTGTCTCTCGGCAAAGGGGGAGGGCGGGCGCGCGGACTACAGCCGCTCCGGTTTCTCCCGCAGCAGCAATTACAGCAGCTGTGAGAGCTAGTTGTCCGCAAAATACGGACGCGCACCTACCCTCGCGAGATTTCGGGCGGGGGCCGGTAACGCGTGGGCGGGGCGAAGAGGGGGCGGGGGCGGTTCCAGAGGGGCAGTGCTCGGATTTCTTCGGCCCCAGAAGCCTATCAAAACGGCGCAAGCGCGTTGAGGGCGTTCAGTGAGGGCCGGAAGTAGCCTAGAAGGGTGGGGCAGAGCTCCAAAGGGAGGAGTCTAGAACCTGCGCAGGAGCGGCATGGTACCCCGGCTTTGAGGGAGCGCTCCCCGACGTAGGTGGTGGTTCGGAGAACCTTTTACCCACTAACTCTACAGCTCCTGAGTGAGGCATTTTCAGAGGGGTGATTTTTTTTTTTCTTAAGAGGAAATAGGAAACGTTGGCATTGTGGTTTGCATTTGCATTTACATCGTCTTAATTTATCCAAACCCTGAATAGCCCACCCTAGGGCATAGGCAGGTCCACCGCCTCTAGCGTTACTAGAATGGCGTGCCCTATTTACTTACAATATCTCTAATTGAGATCCCTAGATATGGTCCTATGGACCACAGGGTGGGGTCCATTAGAAATGTGGGGAGTGTACCAGTTCCTTGGAGTAATGATGGATTTGTTGTTGGAGCTGAGCCAGTTATGGCCTCCGGTAATTTTTTTCTCTATAAATATCTGTTGCTGCCCACACCTAATGTGAAGGAAATTCTTATATACTGTCCAAGATGTGCATCAGTCAAATGGTAAATGCTATATACTGAGCAGATATCCTTGCAAGGCTAAGAGCAAGTAACTATATTCTGATTCTCGACTTCCCAATATCAAGTGATGAAAATAAGTACTTTATAAAAGACTAATGTGTTCTTTCTTAAAAAACAGATCATTGACAATCAAAGTGATTGCATTAACTTTCTATATGATCGTGAAGTACATTTATTTTTATTTTTTCCATTGGCATGGCAGGAGAGCTCTCTGAGCTGTTTGGGCAGCCTCAAGTATTGCTAAGGATGGCTGCAGAAAAGATTGGCTTAGGACAGGGGCATGGCCACAGAACGGCCCAAATAGGACTGTAGATTCCCCCTTGTAAAGCAACCAGGAAAAGATCTGGCATTGTCTGGCAGACTTGTGTAAAACCAAATGCCAGGTATTGTGTACTGTAAGACGCCAGGGAGTTCAGGGAAAACACTGCATATTTAAATATGGTAATATTTCTTGCAGCAAACCATACAATTATTCATACTGGGTAAATAAATACCAGTAAATAGCCTCATTCAGTTTAGGTCAGATACTGCCAAATAAGTGTAGGTTAGATCAATTTGACTGTCAAATAAGTTACTAAAAAAATACAAAATAAAAATTTTTGGTTTCCAGAGCTTTTTGTATTTCAGAATTGTAGGAAAGGGATTTCTAAACCATTGTAAGGAAATGACTTTGGTCACACTCCAGTAATTGTTAGTTTTTAAACAGGTTAATTTCCCAGGTACAAGAATGTATCTTAAAGTACTAACTTATTATTTTGTTGCTCACTAGAAAAGATGATTTTTTCTTATGAATTATGGAGAGAGATAAATAAATAACCTACCTGAATTTACTATCTTCCTAGTTATCTAGTATGAAATTTATATTTGCTTTAAACTTTAAAGTTTGTTCTCATGTACTGTTCTAGGTGCTGAGGACAATTCAACAATGAAGAAGACAACTTAATTCTTGTCTCCAGGAGCTCACAATCTAGGAATGAAGACAAACCTGGAGTCCTAATCTGGTGCTTTTTTCACTATACCATAACACCTCTCTTGGACCTCTTAAGGTACCTTAAACATTGTACTTAGAAAAAAGTCAAAACAATAGGAATAATAAGCTGATAATATTTTTAGAGCTATTAAAGTTGTTTATTAAATTTTTTTTAGTGGTATGAGAAAGTGAATTTTTCTGGGAACGTTAAAACCTATACGTACCACCTATCATCCTTTTTTTAAAAAAATTAAATTTATTGGGATAACAGTGGTTAATAACATGATTATCATCTTTTTTAAAGGTCTGAAAAGATGTGTTTGTTTTGCTTGCGAAATCTGTTCTTGAGTGTTTAAAGCAGAAGGTATTAGGTTTAGTCCAAGGCAGTGGTTTTGAAACTTTTCTCCGTTTTAGAAATGAAACCCTTTAGTCAAACCTATTTCATGCAAAAGTCCATATGTCATAAAAATAAAAACTTCTCTAGTTGAAGCAGTGATAGTTCAGATCACTGCCTGCTTGGCCATCTCTAAGCCTCCATAGACTACTCCCAAGGCTTTATTAATAAAAAAGAAAGTGAAAACTATTGGTCCAAAGAAGGGGTTGGCAAATTATGGAACGCTGGACAAATCTTTAGTGCTGTCTGTTTTTATAAAGTTTTATTGGAACACAGCAAGGCCTTTTTGTTTATGTGTGCCTCACGAAGCCTAAAATAATTTCTCTCTAGCTCTTTACAGAAGAATGTTGCCAACCCTTGACCCGTAGGATAGTATTTTCTAGGGTACCCCAGAACTGAAAGTACTCATTATTTGAATCAGTTTCAAAACAGAATCATACTTACAGATAATAATGAGGATAATGCCTTTTCCTACCTGGCTAGTTCACAATGATTTAAAAAACTACACAGGTCTAAGACTAAGGTGGGTTTGAGGAAACTTTGTATACTTCCTTATCTGCATAGCATAAACTCTCCTTAGGAGTTCCAAAAGCTGGAGTATGGAACAACTTTGTGGTGTGTTTGCTCTCTCCTATTGGAAAGAATACAAACTGGCAGTATCCTTGCGGCCAGTTTTGTTCCAACGCATGGGTAATCACTCAGAACATCACTGACAACACTGTAATGCATGTGGGCTTTTAATGTATGGGGTTAGGTGATCTGAGATACAATATTGACATGAAAAGATTTAATACTGAAATCTCTGTGAGAGTTTTTATAGATTTTGAAGTATCATAATTAATGAAAAAATCATTTTGAAACTGGCCAAAATTTGCCAGAGCCCAGAAAAATGTCTACAATCATCAACCATCAAAACGATTTGAAAGGTCAGCTATGTTACGGATTATGATAGTAAATCATTTCTGTTTGGCTTTGGAATCTTCACATCTTTTTCAAATGAACCTCACCTTCTTAATGATGGTTTGTTTATGTTAATATTGAAATGAAATTTTAATTTCTGAGCACACAAGAACTGAAAGTTAGAGAAAGATAGTCTACATATGTGTTAAGGGACACAGAAAGGCCACCCTGGAATTTTAAATGTGTTACTCTTGTGTGATGGAATATTAAGTAGCCATATATTACTGTTCAGGACTCTGGAAGAAAGCCAACTGGAATTATCTTAAACAATTAAAAAGGGAATTTATTCACTTGCATAATCAAATACACACTGATATAACATTTGCCTGTTCCTTTTGTGATTAAAATATTAGAGAACAATTTGAGAATGAGGTAAATTTTACATTTGTTTATGTGCAATTTTGTTAGTCAGGAACACTAAGTGAAAGCAGAAAATTACACCCAGCTGAATTAAGTCATTTAGGAATACACAAAATACGCACGCCCCTCCCCACGTCTATATATCAAACATCTAGCTACCTCAGTTCTTTCCCTCTGATTTCAGATAACCTTTCTTCCATCGCTTTGCAATAACTCACAAGCATAACCCACTCTGATACCCATTTCTACAAGCAACTTTCAGGGTTTTTTTCAAAATAGAGTGCTGTATCTATTGTAGCCTTTATATATTGCTTAACCATTTAACATGCGTAAGACACTGCTACCATTTTTATTAGGTTTATATCTTTGTGTGTGTGTGTGTGTGTCACAGTTTTTAGATGTACTATTAGTCCCATTTCCCCATAAACCCAGTGAGTTTTTATTTTATTTTATTTTTTAATCCTGACCTGAGGATATTTTTCCATTGGTTTTTAGAGAGATTGGAAGAGAAAGGGAAAGACAGAGAGAATCATTGATGTGAGAGAAACACATTGATTGGTTGCCTCCGGCATGAGCCCCATGAGGGCCCAGGCCGATGCTCTATCTACTGAGCCAAACTGGCTAGGGCCCAGTGGGTTTTATTGAGCAAATCAGTGCAGTGATATTTTTTTGTTTTTGTTTTTTAATTAAATCTTTATTGTTCAGATTATTACAGTTGTTTCCTTTTTTTCTCCCCATAGCTCCCCTCCACCTGGTTCCCACCCCACCCTCTGCCCTTAACCCCCACTGTCCTCATCCATAGGTATACGATCTTTTTCCAGTCTCTTCCCGCACCCCCCACACCCCTTTTCCCCCGAGAATTGTCAGTCCACTCCCTTTCTATGCCACTGATTCTATTATATTCGCCAGTTTATTCTGTTCATTAGATTATTTATTCACTTAATTTTTAGATTCACTTGTTGATATGTATTTGTTGTTCATAATTTTTATCTTTACCTTTTTCTTCTTCCTCTTCTTAAAGGATACCTTTCAGCATTTCATATAATACTGGTTTGGTAGTGATAAACTCCTTTAGCTTTTTCTTATCTGTGAAGCTCTTTATCTGACCTTCATTTCTGAATGATAGCTTTGCTGGGTAAAGTAATCTTGGTTGTAAGTTCTTGCTATTCATCACTTTGAATATTTCTTGCCACTCCCTTCTGGCCTGCATAGTTTCTGTTGAGAAATCAGCGGACAGTCATATGGGTATTCCCTTGTAGGTAACTGACTGTCTTTCTCTTGCTGCTTTTAAGATTCTCTCTTTGTCTTTTGCCCTTGGCATATTAATTATGATGTGTCTTGGTGTGGTCCTCTTTGGATTCCTTTTGTTTGGGGTTCTCTGCGCTTCCTGGACTTGTAAGTCTATTTCTTTCACCAGGTAGGGAAAGTATTCTGTCATTATTTCTTCAAATAGATTTTCAATATCTTGCTCTCTCTCTTCTTCTGGCACCCCCATAATTCAGATGTTGGTACGCTTGAAGCTGTCCCAGAGGCTCCTTACACTATCTTCATATTTTTGGATTCTTTTTTCTTTCTGTTTTCCCGGTTGGGTGTTTTTTGCTTCTTCGTATTTCAAATCTTTGACTTGATTCTTGCGATCCTCTAGTCTGCTGTTGGGTCTCTATATATTATTCTTTTTTTTTTTACTATATTTTATTAATTTTTTTGTTTTTTACAGAGAGGAAGGGCGAGGGATAGAGAGTTAAAAACATTGATGAGAGAGAAACATCGATCAGCTGCCTCCTGCACACCCCCTACTGGGGATGTGCCCGCAACCAAGGTACATGCACTTGACCAGAATCAAACCTGGGACCTTTCAGTCCGCAGGCCAACGCTCTATCCACTGAGCCAAACTGGTTACGACTATATTATTCTTTATTAGTTGGTCCTTTTTCATATCCTCGAAGGTCTCACTAGATTTATCAAGGGTCTCACTAAATTTATCAGCGGTTTCTAGAAAATTCTTGAAAAACCTTATAACCGTGGTTTTGAACTCTATATCCAGTAGTTTGTGTTCCTCCATTTCTGTCATTTGTGACCTGCTTTTTTGTCTCCGCATTTTTTATGCTTCCCTGTGTTGATAGAGTGGCTTTCTGTGCTAGGTGTCCTATAGGGCCCAGTGACTCAGCCTCCCCAATTACCTGAGGTGGACACTCTTGGTGCACCCCTTTGTGGGCAGTGTGCACAGTCTTGTTGTAGTTAAGCCTTGATTGTTGTTGGTATCACTTGGAGGAATTGACCTCCAGGCCAATAGGCTGTGAGAATCAGATGTGTCTATGGTGGGAGAACTTCTGTGCTGGAGATACCTTATGGGGCAAGACTTGCTTCAGTGGGGCTTTGGTGCTTACTGAGTCTGCCCCCTGAGTTTGTCCCTTATGGATCTGAGGAGTTGTAATCTGGATGGTCCCACTCTGACCACTGGGTACACTGGCTCTGGGATCTAAGGAGGTGCTAATTTAGCCTCTTCCTGAGGCTACGCAGCAGGAGCTATGGAGAGATCTGCAGATTCCTCTTCTTTATTTGGGATTTGGAGGTGCCCAGATGAGGCCTAGCTGTGTAGCAATGGAAGCTGCTGTGGGGCCTTGGGCCTTCTTTTGGATGTTCTGGGTCTCTCTGACCCAGCTGCAGTTTGTTAGGTAATTTTAGATTGCAAAGGGCCAGGCCATTCATATGCAAAAACCTCTGTGCACAGCTTGGGTGGGGTGTGGTCTCAGGGAATCAACAGGGTGGAGCAAACAGCTATGGCTGATCCTCAGCCCCACCCTAAGAGGCCCTGGGTCTCAGTGTCCTGCGGTAATCGCTGCAAGCACCTCTGAGAGAAAGCCGCCCTCGAGCTCTGCCCGCTGCCAGACAGTCCAGTTTCTCCCCTTATGAGTCTGGGTCACCAGAAACTCACCCGGAACTGGAGTTCAGAGCAGTCAGGAGCTTGAGACTCCCTCCCGATTGAAAAAGACAACCGCCTCCTCAGGTGCCAGCCCTATTCGCGTGCACCTCCGTACCTCTGCACTTTACTTCTGCACCTTCTTTGAGTCTCAGTGTGCTTTTCTCTTTCCTTCTAGTTGTAGAATTTCCACTCAGCCAGCCTTCCTGTAGTTCTGGATGATGTCCGTTTTGTCTTTTAGTTGTATTTTTTAGGTGGTTGTGCGAGGCCGCAATTTCAGGTGTTTACCTATGCTGCCATCTTGGTTTCTCCCTAGTGCAGTGATTTTTAAGAAAGCATATTTTGCCTTATAGTAGCACTAACTATATAGTCTAATGCTGAATCTAGGGTACAAGATATATCAGTACTCTCTCCTCCTTTTTATTTATTGGTTGATTTTAGAGAGGAAGGAAAAGAGAAACATTGATTTGTTGTTCCACTTTATGTATTCATTGGTTGATTCTTGTATTTTCCCTGAACTGGGTTTGAACCCACAACCTTAGCATAT